GGAGAGACAGGTGGCCCAAAGGGGAAGATGCCAGGTGGCAACTGCTTATTGTGAAAAAGAAAAAGAAAAAATTAAGCAAGTGATTCCTGAGAAAGGCTGACAGGACAGGCAAGCAGCTATCTCCTCATAATCACTCTGCTGCCATGTATGAACAGTCAGACCCCACTGCAGGTAATGTCACCAGCATATCACAGCAACTTTTGAATTCTTCCACAAATCTTCAGGAAACCTCAAATTTTTCTTCCATAAGTTCTTAAATTTTGGTGCTTTCTCCTTTTTATCTAAGAGCAAGGATAGGATTCCTCATGTGGAGTAAATAATGAGGAATAAATGAGTACTCTGTCTACAATAGCAGGAAGCATCATGCTTTGCTCCTAGCTGTGTGTGTGTGTATACATGTACATGTGTGTGCACACTTACAGGCATATTATACACAGAAAATATATTGCCACATTTCCTGCTGGCAAAGGTGTTTCTCAGGCTTACACAGTATTAAGCAGTGTTCTGGAAAAGCAAACTAACTATGCTCTTCTGTGAAAAATACTGTTCTTTTCTGACATCTGAACAAATTTGAGAACCACTGGCTTATAAGTCATGGACAGTGAGAAGAGAGGAAGAAGGGGAGAATTAGCTGGGAGAATAAATCAGGAGAGAGTGTGAGAATGTGAGACAGATGGGGATGACATGGGGCCCAGGGATCCGCAAGAGACCCTACAGGTTGCTTCATGGGTGCAACGTGCATTTCCTGGGTCCAAATCCCCACAAGGCACCAGCTGCAAAGTGGCATTGTGCATTTACTTACTCTCTGAGCAAGCTTTCTTTCCTCATCTGTGAAATGAGAATAGTAAATACCTGCCTTTCAGGGCTCTTAGAAACTCAGAAACGATATCTATAAGTCAGCAAGCAGGTGCTTGACACAAAAGTAGTCACCAGGTTCCTATTCTGTTAGCTATGCTCTGAGCCAGTGAGATGAAATACAAGTAGTGCCTACCAGCCCAGGCCTAATGAGCATGTCCTCTGAGGGCAGCAGAGCACGCTGTCACTCAACCCAATGCGGCAGAGCAGGCATTGCTGTGGCAGACCAGGGAATCAGGGCAGAAAGGTGAAGTCACCTGGCAGGTGAGCTGTGGTTTGGCCTGAAGCGAGGCTCCCTCTGAAGCCAACTCTCCCACTGACTGTTGTGGGGGCTGTAAGTGTGCACAGAGGCCAGGGTCTAAGGCCACCGGGAGGCCAGGTGTTTACCTGCTGAGATGTGGGCTGCACACAGGGGTGCAGAGGCCTGAGTACCCATCGGAACAGAAGACCAGGGGAGGAACCCTGATGGGCACCGTGCGTGGCCCCCTGGCCCTGCAGGCAGAAAGAGGTGCTGTGCATGGGGCCAGGATGGGGGCTGTGGGCAGAGTCTAAGGGATGCTGCCAGCTGGGGTTGGGAAGCTTTAAAGGCCACTCTTTAGAACTGGAAGCAAGAGGTAGAGGGAATACCAAAGGGTCATCTATTTCTTCTCAAGCCAAGGCAGGGAGGGCATGTGGTGTGGGTTGAATCGTATTCCCCAAAAAGGTAACTGAAGCCCTAGCCTCAGTACCTATGGACGTGACTTTGTTTGGACAGTGGGTGTCCTAAGGATGCAATCTGCTCAGAAGGAGGTCACGTCACAGCAGCAGGACCTCCAGTGCACTATGATTGGGGCCCTGGTAAGAGCCAAAGAGACACACAGGGAGGAGGCCCTGTGATGACAGAGGCAGACCCAGGAAGGATGCAGCTCCAGGCCACCCCTAGAGGCTAAAAGCAGTCAGGAAGGATTCCACCCAGTCTCAGAAGAAACATGGCCTTGTTGACACTTTGGCTTCAGATTTCTAGCTCCCAGAACTGTGAGATAATAAAGTTCTGTTTTAAGTCACATAGTTTGTGGCACTGTGCCAGCAGTTCTGGGAAACTAATGCCACCTGAGTCTGCCCTTGGCCTGGAAGGTGCAGGCAGGCAGAGGCCTTGGGCCAGGACTTTGAGGAAGCAGCCAGCTGGAACAGGAGGGGGTCCTGGCTCATAGAATGTCTTTCTAAAATAGCCAGGCACCAAGCTTTCCTCCAAGGGAAGTAAAAAAAAAAAAAAAAACAGTTGTGAAATTGAAATGGTTAATCTGTGAGGTAAGCTGCATCTGGTAGGGAAGACTGTACCCCAGGTCTCAAGCCTAGAGCTCTGGGGTGAAGAAGAGCTCTGTCACTCTTCTCTTTGGGCAGAAGCCATGCTGGGAGCCTTACGCTTTGAGGACAGTGGAACGTTGCGAAGAGTTAACTCAAAGGGCCACCGAGTCTTTGAAACTGTCAAGAGTATACACAGAATTGGGCTCCCTGCCCACACTATTCCAGCCATGGTTGCCTACAGGATTTCTAGCTTCCTGGCTTTCTACAAATTTACTTTTTTTCCCAACTCAAAAATATTTCCCCCAGAATAAGGTATTTATGACATGAAAATACAGATTCAGGCAGGCTCGCTTGAGTGAAGGACTAGTTTTAAAATCTAAATTCCAATATAATTGGCTTCTTTTTTTTTTAACTCTAGTTACTGTTCCACCTTCTCAATGCCTGGACCTATTAGGAAATGCATTAAGTTCACATCCATCAAAGATGTGAACAAATCCAGAATGTAAGCAAAGTCCTAGACTTCTCTTCAGGAGCCACAGCCCCTGAGAAAGATGTTGTCGCTTCAACCTTAGAGAAATCCAGGCACAATTGAGTTGGGCACCATCATTTGCAAAAACAAAACCAAGAACAACACAAACCCTCCTCTTGCATGAAAAGAGATGATTTTGAACAATTGGTTACAGATTCTATGAAAAAGCGAGTAACACAAGATACCACTACAGACACAGAAAGCTGTGAGCATTTCACCTGCCTACCACCCAAGTGTCTAATTACTCTGGGGAAAAAGGGAATTCTGACAACCATTTATGAAGAAAAGTGGGAACGGGGTTGGAACTGGGGTGGAAGGACCCTGTACACCCTGCTGACCATCCCTGTGATCCCAGCCTGGGAAGAGCCCACCCTGTGACTGAAGGATTTATTACCTCTGGTTTTGTACCTGATCACAAGAGGTTCTACTGCCATGAAATACAAGTCACCTGGCTTCCCAGAGAAGCAAGAAGGAAACAAATCCTGCCTGGAGCAGGTACAGAGGAGACAGTCTAGTGTTCAAGGACATTTGTGCTGGTCATCTGTCTTCCGAGCACAAGCAGTCAGCCTCTTGGCGCAAAGTGCTGGTCACAGCTTCACTGCTGCTTAGCTTTGCACCCTTCAGTCCTGACACTCACACAGGTGAAGGCCTCAGCTTGCATGTCTGTGTGTGTCTCAAAAATAGGAGGCAACCACAAGGCAAAGCAAGGATACTGTTGGTGAGCCTCATGAATCCAGAAAATGCAAGGAGTCCGCTCCCTGCCCCCTGCCCCCAGTAACATCCACTTTGGCCCACAGTACAGGGTGAAAGGCCTCTGCTGCCGTGAATGTGGGATTCAGACTAATTTAGAAGCAAGCCCTGGAGAAGCCTGTGTAGGGTTATCTTCATGGATGAGTGGTTCTCATTATGGGAAACTTGCAGCATTTCCACTGACACAGTGTGACAGAGGGCTGTGTCAGACCCATGCATGAAGAGGGCTCCCATGTTCACGTTTACCCACAAGCTAGGGATTCCACTCCACATCCATGCCTGACTTGCATCTGGAGAGCTTGACACATGACTGCGTGATTGTGCCTGGCTCCAGATCCTGTGGCCCGGCCAATGCAGGCCCATGTCACCTGCCTGCCCCAGAAGCACCAAGGAAGGAAGGCTGGGGAGGCAGCTCCCGCATTCTGCCACCTCCTTCTCCTTTGTAGCAAGAAGAATCACCTCTCTTCTTCCTTTGATTTCAGGGTACATCTCATCTGAATGAGGTGAATCAGAAAAGGTAACTCTGGGAGCGCAGGAGAGCTTGGGGCGGGGGTCAATGGCCATGTGTTTCCAACACAGCTGAGAGGTGGGCAAGGGCTTCCTTGGGCCCGCTCCCAGAGGCAGGGTGCAGGGCTGTCCTTCAGGGATCACAATCCAAGAAAGGGCCTGTCAAGTAAAAGCAGGGACTCCTGAGAACTTGGTTCTATCTGGAAACTAGGAATAAGGCCTTGGTTTTCTTAGGACAGAAAGCCCAGTGCTTCCAGATTCAATGTGGAAAAGAAGAATGCAGCCACTGGCCACAACAAGGCCTACCCTTAAGGGCAGGAGAGACAGGTGGCCCAAAGGGGAAGATGCCAGGTGGCAACTGCTTATTGTGAAAAAGAAAAAGAAAAAATTAAGCAAGTGATTCCTGAGAAAGGCTGACAGGACAGGCAAGCAGCTATCTCCTCATAATCACTCTGCTGCCATGTATGAACAGCACAAGGAAATGATGTTAGAATAATTTACCATTGTTTGTGAACAATAAATTAACAAGACCGCTTGCTATTTTGCATTTCCTGCTAATAAAAAACCCTGCAAGGGTCACAGGCAAGGTGGCTGTAATGCCAAAAGCGTGGGATACAGAACTTTCACCGCTGGGAAGCAAAATAGCGAAGGGCCCTTACACAGGAACTCCTGTGCCCAGGTGACCTGAGTTCAATTCACAGAGCAACCTTGACTTCCACACTGTTTCAGAGGGGGCTTCCAGGCTGACAAGCTGACAGATGCCTGAGATTTCCTCTCCCAGGCCCAGGGAACACATCTGTCTTCAAAGGGAATGGAAGGTTCTTCCATTTTTGGGAATAAGATCTAAAAATTCTGTAAGGCTCTGATGTAAGCTGGGTTCCTAACTGCGTCCTAAATTAGCCATGTACTCACATACTTGAAGGCTGGGAGCCTGAGGAGGGACCCGGCAAGTCATTTCATTACTCTGGTCTCACGTTCCTAAGGGGGCAGAACTGGATGAATGGTTTCCATGCTTTACACTGGCAAGCTTTTTCTTCAAAAAAATCTGAAGTGGGAACACAACATGAAAATGTGTAAAACAGGGCAGCTGGAACAAAGCAAGCTCAGCCTCTTTGCTTCCTAGGAACAACCTGGGCACAGGGCCTTGGGCAGGAGCTGAGAGCCACTGGCCAGTGCCCTGGCTGGGCAAGCAGGGCCAGAGCCCACCCCACATCTTCCCAGACACAGAGGTCCCACTACCCTGGGTAAAGAAGAGAGAAAAGGGCATTCATTGCTGTCCTCTTCATTCATGCTGCTGTTGATTCAATTTCCTATTGGATCTAGCGCTGGCAGGATCACGGGACAGCCTGCAGCGAATGGAACAGTCCAGGGTAGGCTGACAGAGACCATACCCCTGGCCAGGTGGTCGCATGAGCAGTGGGAGGTGTGGGCGACCAGCTGGCCAGGGCTATTATCACACCAGCTCAGTGAGCAGAATTCCTAATATCAAGGGTGCCATGGTGTTTAGTACACCTGTGGGTAAGAGGGAGGGAGGGAGGGAAGAAAGGAGAATGCCCATGTGTCTACCCTTTCATGCAGGGCAGCTTGACCAAATCCATCTCCTTCCTCGCAGAGCCCATTCATGATAAAAATCCAGGTTACAGGAGCACTACTAGCCTTAGAGCATGGCTGATGGGCAGTGAGCAGTTCATTCAGAGGCAGGGTCCCAGCCTCTCTCACAGAAGCCAGGAGAAGCCAGCATGGCTGGAAGTCAAGGCAGGGCTGCCTCTGGATCATGGCTCTGTGACTTGCTCCCTGAGGCCACTCTACTTGGCCTGTTTCCTGTCTGCAAAGAGGGAATTATAATACTGGCAGCTGTTTTGAGGCTCAATAAAGCTAACAAGTGAAGCATATGCCAAGACACCCTCAAACAGTCATTTGCTCCACCTGCAGCTCCTGTCCTGGTGGTTGGTGAGTCTCACCCGGGCCTCTACTTTGCTTCCCAGAGCCAGGTGAGGGCGGCCTCTTGGAAAGGTGTGCTCTGGTTAAGCTCAGAGTCAAAGGGCTGCGGGGAGGAGCCCAGGAAGTCAGCCCTTCCAGCTTCTCCCCTTCCATCTGGGTGGCAAGTGGCAGAGCTGGGACTGGAACCTAGGCCTGATTTCCAGCAGGAACTCCAGGTCTCAGCAGTGCCTGGGGGACATGTGGCTGGGACGCCTGTGGGCTGGGCTACTAGGAGCAGGGTGGCCTTAGGAAAGGCAGGAAACTCTGGAGCCTTTGTCCTCCCTGCTGGTGGACACTACTCGGACTTCTCACGACACTGGTAAGGGGGTGACACCATGCAGGAAAGGTGCCTCTGCAGTGCCCAGCTGGGACAGGCACCTTCTGGTTTAACATCTGCATGGTGATGTGCTTGCGTCAGAGGGCTGGGGAGGGACCAGGGAGGAGCAGTGAGCTGTGTGCCCGGGGTTGCTCCCAGAATGATGGGAGCTTGGTGTGCTGCCTCTCCCTGTGCAAGAACGGAGGAGAGCGTGGCAGGGCAGCCAAACAGTGCCGCAGTGGGCACGGGCTAGGAACCTCGCCAGGTGCTCTCCAGCCAAGAGGCCTCAACAAGCACTGATTATGTCACTGCCAATTCATCTCCATAAAGGGGTGTCGGTGTGGGAAAAGGGGAGGGAGATGGACCCTGGGGATGCCTAAGGCTCTCTGGGTTCTGAATTCTATGAGCTATGGTCCCAAATCAGTGCCATTGAATCCCACTGCAACTTGCTCTGTCATTTCTCTGGATCCATTTGAAGTCCAATGCGGAAGAGCTTCCCGTTAGTTAGGGGCCCAACTCACCACTTTCGTACTGAGGACTACCAGGCAGGAAGGCACAGAGGCCAGACTCTGCCTTGCTTGCAGGTGAGCGGTGGTGGGAGGAGAGGACAGTGTCCCAGTCCCGGTTTGGGGAATGACACATAGCACTTGGTCTCATGAAGAACCCTCTTGGAAGAGATCTGGACCCCTTTTTGTGCTCTGAATTTTCCTTCTGTAGGATGGGAACCAGTTGGCACAGAAGGGCTGGCATCATTCCACCCTGTGATCCCTGGAGCCACTCCCGGCTCCCTGAGGCAGAGCAGGTCTGAAAGAAGACCCAGAGTTCTCTGCTGTGTCTTTCTCTTCCCTACCCAAGATCTGCTTTGAGTCCCAAGGTGCTTCTGCAAGAAGGCAGGGTCCTCCGAGGAGAGGCTGCATGGCACTTCTTGACTTCGGAACAAAGCCCCCTGCAAAGGCAGATGGGAAGCTGGGAGCCCATGTCCACACTGGCTTTGAGTTTTGACCCCAAAGTGGAACCTTTCAAATTACTTCACATTTGGCCAAACAAGATCTTTTAATTTCCAGTTTTTCCTCCTTTTCTTATACAGGAATGCAGATCTGGAAGGAACCTGGGGCACTACTGGTTCTTGGGGCATCACACGGCAGGTTCCCTGTAACTGTGTGTGAAACTGATTAACATCCATCTGGTCCACATGAGCTCCAGAGTGAATCAGAAGAGAAACCTCTTTCGCGGTGCTGCGTTTGTGGTTGGCTGTATTTGAAAACATCTCAGTAAGGTCAGGTTTACTTGTTCTTGGGAGAAGTGGGCTGAGGCTGGACATGCCCATTGGAGAAGTCAGCCCTGGGGAGGCCACAGCCTAGGTCACTGCAAATGAAGCCCTCCGTACGTGAATCCCCGGAATGATTTGTTTCCCTATTCTGGAAAAGCGCACACACAAACACAGCAAAGCCTGCACTCAGTGCCTGCATGCACCCATTCTTCTGCTGTGTGTGGTGAGCATCTGTGACCATTACTCTGAACTCTTCACCAGGTAAATTACTTATTTCCATATCATTAAGGTTTTTTCTGAGGTTTTGTCTTGTCCTTTCGTTTGGAACATATTTCTCTGTTTCTTCATTTTTTGTGATTCTGTGCTTGCTTCTATGTATGAGGTGAAACGGCCACCTCCCCAGTCTTAAGGAGTGGCCTGCTGGGGGATGAGCCTCCTTCAAACTTGCCCTTGCACTTGCTGGCTCTCAAACCTCTGTGATGTCTAAACCACCTGCTTTCCTCTTGCTACATCCCTGCTGTTGAGGGTGTGCCTGGACCTGCCAGGGGCCTAAGGAGAAGAATCTCATTCTGCCCCTGGTTTCAGGCTGACTGGAAGTCAGACCCTCAGGCAGCTGCTTTAAAGTTGGCATATACATACAGTCCTGTGGGACCACTATTGTCATCCCTGCTGGCCTCAGACCAGGGGACCTCGAGGTGTCCCCTGGGCAAAAGCTGCACAAACAGGAACTCCAGACAAATGCTCATGCCCCTCTGGGAGGTCTCGCTGAGCACAGTGAGGCTGAAGGGTGGTCTCCCTGCTTACCTTCCCTGGCAGTGCCTCCTCGGCCTCTTGCTGTGTGGAGACCCGAAGCCTGTCCCCCAGGCTGGATCTCCAGACTGATGAACAGTCCTTTTTCACAGGAAGACTGGAGGTGTGCTTCAGTCTGCTGTCTGCGCAGTGCCCTGGGGTAGTGGCCTCAGAGCCTCTGATTGTTCCAGTCCCGAGGAACTCAGCAACACCAGGCCCCGGTGGTCACAGGGCCTCTCCTGCACAGACTGCAGACCTGCTGGCTCCAAGGGGGCAACTGGGGAGCCTGGGGGTGAGCACGCTGTGAAGCCAGCATGGAAGCTGGAGGGTCTGCAGCCAGCACCCCCCCGCTTCAGCTGGGCAGCACCTGCCAAGCTCACTCACTCCTGCCTCCTAGCAAGGCAGCAGGAGGGCACCAAGTCCAAGCTCACCCAGCTGTGCCCGCAGGAGAGGCGAAGATTGCAACCATGGCATTCTTCAGCCTCTGTCTCTGTGGGGCTCCAGATGTTCTGGCACAGCTCCTGGGGGCTGGGGGTCCTAACACAGGCTCCTAAACCCTGCTGCTCCAGGAGGAGAGCTGGACATCTCAGAGTGCCCCCCGTGGTGTGTCGCTCTGCTGTGAGGGGTTTCTGGTAAGACCACGTCTGCCTCTCCTGTCCGGCTCAATGGGTCTTCCCATCCTTTAGTAGAGAAGTGGCTCACCTAGCTTCAGGTCTTTTTCAGGGGAGGTGAGCCATATGTGGTGTAGATTTGGTGTGCCCACGGTCTCCCGGTGCACCATCTTACAGAGGCCCTCCCAGCTGCCTTCCAAGCAGAGCTAATTCAACAGCAGAAGTGGCCCACTAACCACCCTCCCCAGTTCTTTCAAAGCCATGGAGACCCCTTTAGAACACCTGCCAGGTGGCCTCAGAGTCAGAAACCATCTTCTCTACCACCAGAGGCCTGGATAACTCAGACATTCATAACCAAGTTCCCCTGTGTGGCTTCAGGAACAGCATAGAAGATGCGTGAGCCCAGAGAGCAGAGGACTCGTGGAGCACTTGCCTTTTTCCAAATAACAAGCAAATGCATATAAACAGTGTTTGCTGCATGACTAAATGAATCTCACAGGCATTTATTTGAATAGCACATACCACTAATTTTGGTTTCTTTCCAAACCCTAATCTCATTAGATACTTGGCTGGTCCTTTCTAGATGTGATCCCAACCTTTTCCCCTAGAGATCTACTGAAAGCACTTTTGGTTGAAGGATCTTATCCTCTAACCAAACAGTTGGGCAAACAGGGAACTTAGATGGGGAGCTGACAACCAAGGACTCCAAATTCCAAGTTTGGCTTCACTATCTCTCCTCCTGGCTCTTGTACCTGCCTCAAGATGCAGTCAAGTGACCTCTGTTGTTAACCTGCCCCAGGAATTCCTGTCACCAGAAACCCAGCACTCCGAGCTACTTCCAGGTCATTTGAAAACTCAATGTAATTAGAATGTTCTAGATACTTAAGGTTTTTGGATGGTTCTTCCCTTGTTGAGAAAGCACTTTTCTGAAGCTACTACGGCCAGCATCTCTTGCCGTCCAACAGTGTCTAAGGGATTCTGAGCAGTCAGTTCCTCTTCCTAACAGCCCCATGTGGGCCTGTGTCCTCCCTGTAACTGTTGCACAGTTGGCTCACTTATTAATGCTTATGACCCTCAATATCCTTCAGTATTCCTACCTTTCAAACCATGGAGCCAGCACCCCCCCCACATACTTGGCTGACAAGCTCTACGGAGCTTCAAAATGCAGTCTTTCTGTATGAGACGTTTAGACTCTTTTCCAAAAGCTCAAGTAGAGGCAGAAAATGTGCTTCTGTCTGGTCTCCAGGAAAAGAAACAAAGTCCCAGTAAATCCATGGGTAGAAATTTTCATTTTACAATTGTGATGTCACCTTCTAGAACTTTTCTTCCACCCTTTTCACATGCATAAGCACTTATATACCCCTGGGTAAACAGTTATAGTCTTTAACGCTAGTCCCTAGATAAAGGGCTTGTCATCTTGTTCTCCCCATCAGGCTGCAGACTCTCTATAGTGAGGAATTACATCAGTGAGGAATTATGTGCCTTCCTTTCTCTGTAATTCCTGGCACCCAGCTCCATGTTGGTCTGTGCTAGCGGGTGTTCAGTAAACACTACTGACAATATAAACTACCTACTCAGATTACAAATGAGGAAACATCCACATTCATCGTCACAGGTTTATTTTAAAGATTCATTCAATTCAGTGGTTGCGCATGTGCATGTGCACCTGTGCGTGAAAGTGCCAGAGCATGAGCGCCTCCAGTGAAGACATCCCAACAGCGGCAACACTAGGATACCCAGAGATTAGGAAACATGCCCAGACCCAGCACGGCAGGTGGATACACGGGACCCGCAGAGCCCTTCCATGCCCACATGTGTGCGTGCATACATTCATCTACTCTAAATGATGTAGCTAACATTCTGGTTCAAGGCATTGTGGCTTCAGCTGCTCTATCCCTCAAAGCTATGGGAAAACACATGCTCCAGGGTCATCCACCTACAGCAAGATGGGGCAATAGCACAGGTCTCAAACACATGGCCCACTCTTTGGTGAAGCTGCCAGAGCTTTTCTTTCCAAATTATAAACTCCTTCATGAAGCCAGGTATCGATGACGTGAGTGCTGACATGTCAGTGTGACAGCTGTCACTTGGCATTGGCACAGTGTAAGCCACTGAGGACAGGCAGCACATGGCAGGAAGTGCCATGGGCAAGTCATGTCATCCAGGATGCTGTCGGTCTCCAGGTCAGGAAAGGAGACGCAACCCCCAACCAGCTCACTGGCTGCAGGAGGCTGCCCTGGGTTGCAGGAGACCAGGGCACTGGGTGGCAGTGGACAGCCTGCTGCTACCCAGTGGACAGCAGAGCATCCCCTGGACTCAGGTCCTTGCAGCTGAGCTTCTACAGGAAGACAAATCCCTTCCCATGTGCTACATCTTTTAAAATTTTTCAACTCTGTAAAAATAGCTATAAAAATACCAAATTATTTCCCTGTAGGACTGAAAAACCATCAGAACAAGTTAATTAGATAATGTGCCTTGGTGACTAAGAGGCAGGAGCTTTGAGGTGACAAACACCCATGTTTGCCCCTCACTAGTTGTGTAACCTGGGTGAGCTGCCAAACCTTTGGAAGCCTGAGTTTTCTCCTCAGTCCAATGGGGTCAAAAGCAGGGGCAACAGGACTAAATGAGATAATGCGTCGAACATTCTGACACGTAGAAAGCTCTCACTATTAATGGCAATTATTACCACCATTTGGTATTTCCTCCATTATCTGGGATCATCTTATACAAACATAGCTAAAAGTACGCAAGTAACCAAATTAGCATCTGAACAAACAAAACAGTGTCACAGTGAATACACATAAAAGCCTGGGTGCTTTCCTTCACAGCCACTCGGCTCCCGCCTAACTTATTACTGTAAACCTGTACACCATTGGAGCACAATAGGAAGGATGGACACCTGCCTGGCCATTGTGGACCAAGAACGCCACCAGATGTCTTTGATCTGTTACCTCAAGCCCCATGAGGTGAGGGTGATTGTCTCCCCATCTCACAGATGATGGCACAGAGGCTGACGGAGGGGTTACCTGTCTGGTCAGATAAGCCAGGGAGTGATCCCACCGGGTCTGCCAGCCCACACTCCTAACCAACACCGCATCACCTCCTTGACCTCCTCCCCCAGAGCCTGGTGTCAGGGGGATGGGGTACTGACAGCTGACAGAGTGCAGGGATGAAGTGAGACAGGAAAGGAAAAGGAACAAGCTCACAGAAAGGGTTTCCCAGCAGAGTGGTTTGGACACAGGAGCGCTGGGGTCAGACACCCTCATACACTGGGAGGCCCTGAGCTGGTGCAGTAGCGTCATGTGTCATCTAGAAAAATCACCTTGTGTGCTAAGAAGGACAGGAAAACAGGGGGATGTAGAAACATTAGAGGGCAGTTTCCCTCCCTCACCCACATTGAACACCCTCTGACAATATTGCAAAAATACGGCACCTTTACAAAGATGAACATAGCAGTCAAGCAACAGTTCAAGAAATACCACCACCCAAGTACAGTTGAATAATATTTGCATGAAGCCTGACCTCTTATTTTAACCCACTGCTTAACTTAACCTCCTTTCTATCAAGTCTTGAGATAAATATCCTTTAGCCCACTCTGTGCCCCTCAGGTTAGAATCACGGCTTCAGTGCCTTTAGCCTGAGCAGTATTAGAAGGTCTCACAAAGATCAGATAATTTAAAGGGACATGAATTAAAAATAAAGAAATAAAGATTATTTTAAGAAAAATAACCTGAGACCAAAAGGTGTTGGGTGGCCTTCCTGGTGTGGGCAGCTTCCAGCATCCTGCCCAGGCTGGCACAGGACACCTGAGCCCCATTTCTGATCATAGCCAGTCCTAGCCCCCCACTCACAACCTGGCTCACCGCACCACCCGGAGTCAGGTTTTGCTTTATGCCAGGTCCCATCATAAACCCCAGGCACCATGAGAACTGCTTTCCAAGACCCAAAAGGAAGGTGAGCAGAACATGACTCTTGGAAGGCATACAAACCAAACTTGCAAGGATTTTGAACCGGGTGTTTCAAATGGATATAACCAAACAATGCTGCCATTAGCCAGTGCTCCACTTCTGGTTATCTGGAACCAGAAGAGCCCCTTTGACCTGTGGTCAGGGCATCCAGCAGACAAGATGTCCCCAGGGGAAGCAAAGGGGGTGTGCTTATCCCTCTAGGCAAGGCTTGCCAGATTCAGCAAATGACAACACAGAACATTGAGTGGTAAGTGAATTTCAGATAAACAAAGAATGATTTTTTACTATAAGGAAGTCCTGTGCAATGTTTGGGACATACTCATATTAAAAATTCTTTGTTGTTTATCTGAAATTTAGACTTAACTGGGTGTCCTGTAATTTTATCTGCCATCTCTATTAGAGGCTCGGATCCCCTAGGGGATTTGGGATGGGTGGGAAGTGGAGGCAACAGGCCCCACATACCAGCCTGGGAGCAGGCCGAGCCAGACGGCACTCTCCACTTCCCACAGCAGCCCCCACCTCCGTGGGCTCCAGAGCCCTGGCCAAGCCCACCCTAACCTACCATCTCTTTCAAGGGAGGCCTTCCCTGAGTCCTCTGCCATCAGCCCCAAACACCCTTTCTGACCAGACTGCTTCCCGCCCTGAGGTAAGGGTGCTCCTTCAAGGAACCACACTGTCTTGTGTCTTGTTTTGTTCCCCAGGTGAGGCTGCATACCGGCTGCAGGGCGGTTCCAGCTGGGAGGCATCCTATCATTTTTTTTCTGTCCCCATATAGACCCTCCCGTCCACTGCATTCAGATACCAGGAAGCAAAACAGTATTAGTTCTCCTTGATCATCATTTCAAGACCTGAATAACAGCGAGGGCTGAGCGAGCATGCTCAACTTGCCTAGCAGAAGCTGTTATGAACTCTGCACCTGCAGACACTGCCTCATCCTGGCACTGGATGTCCTAACTCCTCAGTGCATCATCCTATGATTAGTGGGCTTCAGTGAACCACATGCTCAAATAATCACATATATTTAACAGAAACAGAGAGGAAAGAGTTCTTGATTTCAAACTCCAAGCATGGTTTTACAGTAAAACATTTACAGCTAAGCCATAAAATGCATGGAAATGGGAAGAAACATTGACACAACAATAAAAGGAAGGGTAAGATTAATGATGCTACAATACAGTCTGTTTTCCTTTGGTGCAGAGAAAATTAATTTACAAAGATATTTCATTTAACTTTGCAACATTCTGCAGTTTAGCCTTTGATGCTCGAACTTTTCTCTTTTATCCCCTTTAAGCCCAAGGATGGGGCAGCATTGTGTGAGGGAGGCAAGCAATGTGTATTCAGGGAATACCTATTCTGTCTATAATTCCCAGCCTTCACCTCCTACTGAAACATGCACTCTAATAATCCAAAATTCAACCTCCCAAAACATAAGATGTGTTACCTTCCAGAGCAAGGCACTGGGGTGGGCTGGACGACCAGATAAGGTTGCGTAAGCACTCAAGGTAGTCTGAGCCCTCGA